CGCTGCTGCTGCACCGGGCGGGCGGGCCGGCGGGCCGGGCCCTCTACGTCTTCCTGGTGGCCGGGCCGGCCCCGGCGCTGCGGGGCGGCATGGCGAGGGTGGTGCACTTCGCCGTCCCGCGGGACGAGTCGGCGGGCGGCCTGTCCCGCATGTACGGGGTCTTCAGGGCCTTCAACCCCGCCTGGGCCGAGACCCGGCTCCTCCTGGTGGGCCCCGGCCTCCCCCAGCCGCCGGCGCTGGCCCAGGCCTTCCCCGCAGCGGAGGTGCAGCTCTCCGTCTTCCACCTCTGCAAGCGCCTGCAGCGGCGGGTCCCCCTCCCCGCCTCCCCCCTCGGCAAGCGCCTGCAGCGGCAGGTCCAGCGGCTGGCCCTGGAGGGCCGCGCCGAGCGCCTGATCCTGGCCAGCCTGAGGGACGCCATGTGCGCAGCCACTGAGAGCCGCCGCAGGAAGATGCACGCCCTTTTGAGGGACCTAGTGACGCCGGACTTGCTGCCGCAGCTCCATATTCACTGGCTGCTCGATGAGGAGATCTGGGCCACGCACAGGGAGCGGAGCTGGGGGGAGAGCAGTAGCTACTTTAGGGACCTGGAGATCGTCACCCAGGGGTTGAGCCAGGTTTTCAGCACTGGGCTCTCTCTGGAGAGCTGCATCACCTCCTTAGCCCAGCACTACCAAAAGTGTGTTTCCAAGAGCCCTCCTGATGCTGTGATGTGCTCCGTTCCCCATCCTGATCACTGTGCTGCTCGGGCAGCTCCCCAAAGCCTGCCTGCCTCGGGTCCGCCTCCCACCCCTGTGTTGTGCCAGGGTACGCCATCTCAGAGCTCCGTCCAGGCCTCCCCCACCATGGCAGCAGCTCAGCAGCAGGGGCTGGTAGCAGCCTCTCTCACAGCTGCCAAGAGCCCCGTGATTGTTCTCCAGAGTCCACCGGCAGCTCCTCGGCTCCCTGCAGCTCTTCAGCACCAGCCTGAAATCCCCCAGGCTCTCCTCCAGAGCAAGCCCTCGAGCCCTCAGTCCTCATTAGATCCTTCATCTCCTGCGGCTGAACTGGAGGCCACAGAAAACCCGGAGAGTGACAGCGAGGAGGAGATTAACCGACGGAGTGAAGAACACATCAAGCAGTCTTTGAGCGATATTTGCACGGAGGCTGCTGCCAGGCTGTGCCTGAGTGAATTCGCGGTGGTTCAGAAGTCCGTGCAGCTGATAGGCAGTGGGGAGGATGCGCTGAGTGTACAGGTCCTGGAGGATGCCCACAGGGTGGACCTGAAAGGCCTGAGCAGCTGCACTTGCTACTTCAACCAGGTCTTCCAGCTGCCCTGCCGGCACATCCTGGCCGTGTTGAATTCGGACAGGAAGACCGTGCAGCCGGAGATGCTCGGCAGACAGTGGCAGAAGGGATGCGATGCCCATCAGGCTGGGGGAAACTGTGCTGATGGCCTCTTGGAGGTCCTGAAGAGCTCCTGGAACGCGTCTTTGGATAAATCCCTGGTGGTGTCCTTCCTCACGGCAGAGGTCAGCCGGCTTCTCACCCGCTGCAGTGGGGAGGAGTTTGAGTGCAGGTACAGGACCCTTCGGGAGCTGGCTGACAGCTGGATTGGGCCCTACGTTGAGGTGAAGCTCTAGCACGAAGCGGGAGCCGAGCTGGCGGCTCCGTGTGCGGGTCCTCGGGAGCAGCGGGGCAGCAGATGCGCAGGAGGCCTGTTCATCGCTCCACCCGTGTCCCAGCTTCCCCCTTTACTCCCCTCAGCTTCTTACTCCCTCGGGGCTCGGCATGGAAGGGGCAGTTTGGGTCCTTTATCTGCCGAGCGAGCGTCGCCTCTTGCACAGGGCAGCTGAGGAACCGGATTGGGAACTCCAGATCATGCTGGAATGGGTAACCAGCCACTGACCTGGCTAACAGGAGGTGTGGCTGGGAGCCAACCACGGGTGGTGCGGCGTGGGAGGTAATGGTATAATAACACGTGACAAAATTATTTGATCTGTGGCCAGTGCCTGCAGGTCATTCCAGCATCCAGCTGTGATGTGTTGTGCAACAAAGCCAATAAATCGGTCTTGTATCGCTTGGGAGCCGCATCCGTCTCTGCGCCAGCTGCAGCCGCCCCTCCCTGCCAGCAGGACGGGACGGTGGGGCTCGCTCGGCCCGTGAGATCAGGCAGGGCTTTGAACAGCACTTCTTGGTGGTCTTGCCTCGTTGTGGCGCCCTCCAGTTAGCGAAGCGAGCCTGCTTGCTGGGAGGCAGCAGATCCAGAGGGTGGCAATCTCCGCTGCGGGCAGCACAGCCCATGGTCTGGAGCAGAGGAGTTGTTTGTCTGGTTACGGCAGCTGCTCTCAATTTCTCAGAAAGGGGAACCCGCCCTCCCTCGTCAACAGCTTGTGTGCTGGGGGAGGCAGGAGGGATGCCGGGGTCACAGCAGTGCAAACAAAGCTGCGATGAGGTGGAGAGCAAAGGCTTTAAACGCGTGGGGTGGGGGAGGGAAAAATACTGAAAAGAGCAAACAAGCCCTGGCCCTTGGGCGTTGATCTCGGGTTGGGTGAGCTCCCCGCGTCCCCTGGCCGGCCAGAACAGCTCCAACACCAGTGGCTCCGAAGCCCATCATGTCCTGTGGGACGTGGCAGGGGGGCGTCGAGACACCTCACTCATCGCAGTGGTTCAGTCACCGTCGGTGTTTTCCCCAATCAGCACTTCCTTCATTAGTGCTTTATTTCAGTACAGTCGGCCCGTTGCAGGACTACGACTGCTAGGTTGGGGATTTCCTCTTGACGGAGGGTTTTGTAACATTATCTGATACTATCGAATCTCTCTGGCTAAATATAGCGTAGTGTTTCCTAAAACACCTTTCTGTAAACTCAGAGCTGCTTGTTTCACCCCTCAGCCGTGCTGCAGAAGAGGCCTGGGAGGCCCTGCCTGCTGACCCCTCGCCATCCCTCTTCCTGGCACGTGCGGGCACCACTCTGATTTTTGGAGGGCTCTTTCCTCTGCCTCTTGCTCTGCGCAGCTCCAACCCTGCCTCCCCTCCCAGCCCGGCACAGGCACTGCGGGAATGCCAGCTGCCATCCCCACCAGCCAGAGGATGAGCGGCTGGAGGAGGGCCCGGTGCCGGCTCCTGGAGCCAGGGAGCACTGGGCTTCCCTCCCTGGCTGGCGAGGCGGGGTAGCTGGACCCTGCGCCGGGTTGCCGTGACCGGCTCCATGGCCACAGGCGTGTGCCTGAGCAACGGCTGCTGCCAGTGCGGCTCCCTGGATGCTGCGGGTTTCCCTCTGGCGTCCGCCCCGTCCGCCTCCTTGCTGGGAGCACAGGAAATAGCTCATCCCCACTCTCGGGGTAAACATCTTTCCCAAGAGCGAAACTGCCCAGCCAGGACAGGCGTCAGGCTGTAATTTACCCTCCGCGTGAGCGTTGGGCCGTGCCCTCCCACGCTCCACCCAGCCTGGCCCCGGCTCTGATCCACCTGGGCAATCTCAGCTTCGTTCCCAGGCCACGGACAGGTCCTGAGCCCAGCAGCGTTGAGGGCCGTGCTCGCAGGCTCATGGGCCCAACTTTGTTCCTTGCTGGAGGGGGAACTGCTCCCATGAGCGGCAGCTGAAGCCCCCCAAGCCCTCCTTTGACAGGACTCTTCCCACATTACTGGGAGGCAGCTCCCCTGAAGCACCCCCTGCAGCCACACGAAATGCCCTTATGTGGAAGGGGAAGAAAGTCCCCTTGGCTGGGGACTAAAAATCCCAAACCTGTGGCTTCCTCCCCCAGACGGGAGCCGGGCCGCATGCCAGCCCCCAGAGCTGCCCAGCGCTGGCCTTGCCCTGCTGGGGACCAGCCTGGCGCCGGGCATATGCCAAGGCCTCATCCTGCAGGGTGCTGATCCCACCAGCGGGGCTGGGTCTCCTGGCTGCAGGGGCTCTGTGGGTCTCTGTGCCCACCCCAGCCAGCCCGGCTCTGCTGGCATCCCGGTGCCTGAGGCCTCCTGCTGCGGGCGGCGCCGGTGGTTAGCACAGCCCTGACGGCAGCAGGCCTGGCGCGGGTCGGGCAGCAATCCCCATTCCCCCTGTGCCCGCACTCCCCACAGCATGCTCGCTTTCTGGCTGGAAGCGCTTTATTGCTCGCTCTGCCCTGCACCAGCCTCCTGCCTGCGCACCGGCCCTGCCGCACCTATCTGCATGGAGCAAAGTCCCTCCGATGCTCTGCCGTGCTGCCGGTGCTCTCACGTCGGCCCTTCAGCAGCATGTGCCGTGTGTGCAGGTGCCCCGGGGGCGAGGGGGGCCACGTGCCGGTGGGCGCTGGGAGGTGGAGGGGGCAGCTGGGGGCACAGATCCTGCCGGGCAGCTCGCCAGCCATCGCTGGTGGGGCTGTCGGCGCGGGGGGTGGCCCGGGGCAGCGTCCTCGACGCCTCACTCGTGTTTGCAGAAGCTCTTCAGCGGCGGGGGCAGGTCCAGGCCGTCGATGGCCAGGCGGTGGACAATGTGCTTCTGGATGACCAGCCGGCAGAGGGTCTGCAGGGAGGGAACTGGAAGAGAGCAGAAAGAAGCAGCTGAGCTGGCTGAGTCACCAGTGAGGCCGAGAGCAGAGTGGTGTGGAGGAGATGGGCCCCGAGGCTCCCCGGAGGCACCGTGTTTTAGGGCAGCGGTGGGTGAGCTCGCTCTGTGGCATCGACCTGCCCCAGGCTCGAGCCAGCTGTGCGGGAGAGCCAGCGCCAAGGTGCTCTGGCTGCAACAGGAGCCTGAGGGCCGCGGGCTGTGAAGCTTTTCCCATTACCGGGAGGAAGGTAGGGAGGACGGTTATGCGCCCAAGCTGTGCGTTACCGCGGCTGGTTTGCATTTGTTTTCTCTGGGGGCTGTGGAGCGGCTCCCCAGCGTCTCACATCCCCACACTGTGCTTCCCTTTCATCCCGCTCCCTTGGTCTGCTTCCACTGGCGCCGGTGCTCGGCTGCCAGATGGGCACCCACGGGCCGTGGCTGCGCTGCCTTCAGACAACCATCTTCTGAGCCGTTCCCATGGCTGACCACGCGGGCTCTGCCCGGTTCCGGCCCCTGTGACACGCGCCCCTGCGGGATTCCTCTTTCAGGAGCCCTTGGTGGCTCAGCAGCCTGGGTGCAATTAGCTGCGGCCAGCGCTCTCAGATTTTAAACGAGAGCTGACTCAGGCGCAGCCCGTGGGCCTTGGTTCATCCGCTGCCTCCAAGAGCCAAACCAGAGGAGATCACCCCAGGGCACCACGCTTGGCTGGAGTGGAGCCGCGGGTGGGACCCGGCCGTTTCGCCCACACGTGGCTCTGCACTTTTCTGGTTGCAGGGCCGGTGCCTCCAGGGGCTCACGCTAGCACCGGGCAGAGCAGAGCTCTGCCGAGCACGACCGTGCTATGACCAGCTGGCTCCCAACCTTGGGGCTGTTTTCGGATGGCTGGAGTGCTTATCTCTACCTCGGCGGCGCAGGGCTGCGTTGCGCCGAGTGCTGGGTGACGAGTGGCAGATGCCCTTTGCCTCTCCTGCCCCCCAGCCCCTGTGCCACATCACATGTCGCCAGTGGCTCAGCTGCTCATTTCTGGGTTTCACTTCACCAGCTGGACCCCGCTCAGGAACAGAACCACCCCACAACTGATTTTTTAAACCCTACGGAAGTGTTGCAGAAACTGGAGCTACTGAAATCTTTGTCGAGGGCAGGAAGCCGTATTGCGCCTCTGCAGCGGTGCCTGCACCAGCCGCGGAGCTCGCAGGGACCCACGGCCCGTGGCGCGGCGAGAGGGGGCAGCTCTCCCAGAGGTACGTGCTGCCAGCGCCGGTCCCTGGCGAGCGGCCGGGGACGGGTCCTCGGAGGCAGCTCAGCGGCCTTCTGCAGCGTGCCCTGGCCGGTTGCCCTCAGCACGCTCCTGGGGCAGGGGGGCCTGGGCGGCCGGGCACATGTAACCTCCCTCTTTGGATAATCCAGCTCAGCAGCTGGCAGGGAGAATCCTGCGATTCAGCCTTGAGACAGAAGCGGCTGAACTTTGTGCCAAGGAGAGAAGCGGCGGCTCCCGGCTGTCAGGTCTGGGCTCGTGCTGTCTGCGGCCTTGCACCCGGGGTGCAGACAGCAAATTGTCCCGCTGATGTAAAGCGAAGGTGGCACGGCAGCATGCCAGCTCGCGGTCAGCCATCGTCACCCAGGCGCTAGCTCTCCTGGCTCTCCTCTCACCTCATCCTCAGCATCTGCTGATTTTTTCAGTATGGTGCTAATTAGCACTTATTAGCCTGACGCCTTGCAAGAGCCAGCGACCAGCACCGGTCTTCCCAGCCCCTCCCCAGCCAGCCGAGGGATGCCGGATATTGCCCAACCTCCGATGGCTCACGGGGTGTCCCCCGCAGCCGGGGCACGTGGCAGGCGCGGGGGCACGGCGTGCGTGCCGGGGCAGGCAGTGGGGCGCAGCCGGACGTTTTGGTGCCAAAGCAGGACATCGCTTGGCTCCGGGCTGCTGCATGCCCATGGGGGAGCCGCGGCTCGGAGCCGGTGCGAGGTCTCACCCACCCCCGGCACGTTCCCGCGTGGCAGAGCTTTCGGGAGGCACCGCCTGTCGGTGGCAGCATGGGGTCTCGCCCGCGCTCTGCAGGGGCCGGGGGCTCTCCTGTGCGTCTGCCCCGTGTCCCTCTGCCCCGTGGCACACTCTGACGCTCCCACTGTTGGGAACTATGGGGTGACCCCACCGGAGCCCCCCCGGCTCCTGGCCCGTGCAGGACATGCCCCAGGGAGGGGGCAGGTACCTACATCCGTATTCCACCGGGATGACCCGGACGCTCTTGGTGGAGGCGAAGACGTCGACCACGGCGTAGAGCGGGCGGGCGGTGGGCAGGCGCCTGGCGCTCGGCCCCATGTCCTCTCCGTTGATGACGATGTGCATGTCGGCAGTGCCATCGGACTGCAGGGCGTACAGCACGCCGATCCGGCTGCGCCGGGCGGTCGCAGGCAGCACGTTCATCTTGTACAGGTCGTCCAGGATGTGGCTGTAGCGCCCCGGCCTGCTGCGCCCCACCAGCGTGTCTGGCCCCGTGCCCGCGCCGGTGCCTCCTCCCCATCCGCCGCAACGCGGTTGTGGCTCCGGGTGATGGCGAACACCCAGGTGTCCCCCATGTTGACCAGGTCCGGGAGCGAGTACTCGGGCACCACCTCCAGGCTCTGGGGGTCGTGGGCCGTCAGCCCCACGCGCAGGTGCCCGCACCAGCCCAGCTCCTTCTCCTCGATCTCCACCAGGAAGATCTGCCCAGGCGCCAGCGGCTCCTGGCTGAAGCAGAGCCCATTGGCGAAGCTCTCCACCCGGGTGGCCCGCGTCCGCGAGGCATCCAGGCGGACGTTGGCGCCGTGGACGTGGTGGAAGCGTGCGGCGAGGCGGCACCGGGCAGCCATCGCCGCCACCGCTATTTTTAACTGTCCCTGTCACAGCTGCTGCGAGGCAGTGACGGCCCCTCGGGGCAGGGACAGCCGGGGTGGCCCGGGGGGGTCCTAGTGCCGGGGGAGAGCAGGAAGGGGACACAGCCCGGCCCCTCGGGGCTCCCCGGGCCTGCAGGTGCCCGTGCAGTGCCCGCCTGTGTCTGCCTGCCCGGCTGGGCCCGGCGGTGCCCGGCAGTGCCCGGTGGTGCCTGGTGGCACCCAGCTGTACCCGGTGGTGCCTGGTTGTCCCCGCTGTGCCCGGCGGTAGCTGGTGGTTCCCAGCAGTGCCCAGCTGTACCCAGTGGTGCCCAGCAGTGCCTGGCTGTACCCAACAATGCCTGGTGGCACCCAGCTGTACACGGTGGTGCCCGGCTGTCCCTGCTGTGCCCGGTGGCACCTGGCAGTGCCTGGTGATGCTGACAGTGCCCAGCTGTACCTGATGGTACCCAGTGCCTGGTGGCAGCCGGCTGTACCCGGTGGTGCCCAGTGATGCTGGCAGTGCCCGGCTGTACCCAGCAGTGCCCGGCTGTACATAGCGGTGCCTGGCCGTACCCAGCGGTGCCCAGTGATGCTGGCAGTGCCTGGCAGTGACCTGCGGAGAGCGG